CCTAGAATCAGACAAAATTCCATAAATACATCTCTGTTTCTAGTTACATGATTGATGGCTCAAAAGTCTATAGTCCACAAAGAATGAGATTAAGTGAGCCTTATAATACTAGAAATATAATCATTAATAGAAGAGGTGCTTGAAGGCAATGCCTTCTTCAACCCAATATACTTACCGGCAAAATGACCTAACTTGCCACGATCATAGTTGGTTAACTTGGCCTTGTCTTTCTTTCTACTATACTTACAAAACTAGTTTCTCTTTCTTGGTTTTTATCCAGTCTCTTTCTCTTTGTTATTGTTGTGGCACTTATGTTTAAAGCCTAAAGCTTTCTTGAAGCTGGATTTAGCCATACATGTTAGGGCATTTGGCTTGGCTCTCTCAAGATGCATATCTTCCAACTCAATGTGACAAGCAACATTAGCAAATGTCCTCATATTCTTATTATAGAGCATATTTTCTTTCATATGCTCTCAATTATCGGGAAAGATTAGATAACAACTCGCATTTGTTATTCATCTTTCAAGATATAGCCGACTTGCTTCAGTTCCATAATCATGTTCGACATATCCCTCGGGTATTTGCTTTATGGTTTTGTTTGGAACCTTCTTATAAGTGTTAAACTTGATCGTTAATCGCCTTAGTTTGGAGATAGTGGTCCCTCCAAACTCCTCCCTCGATATTGCCTAAATGACATAAGCACTTGGATAATTTTGATACATAAAATCAGATTGTCATTCATAAAATTGATCAATGTTCCCTTTGTAGTGGAATTTGCCTCCTTTCATGTACGATAAACAATAATATCTCAAAAATACTAGGCATTGTTGTTCCCATCATTAGGTCGAGACTAGATCATCTTATAATTAATTGCGCTTAAGGCCTCTTGCTCTTCTAGGACCTAATGTATCTTAACGTGGCATATGTTATATTTGTCTTTTAAGTTTTTCACTCTTATTCAAATTAGCAATGACATTTTTTGTTGTCATTCAGTTACTATAAAGAGACATTACACACACACACACACACACACACACACACACACACACACACACATATATATTAGTCGTTAATTTCTTGAATTAATTATTAAAATCCAACATAAGACACAGAATCTACATTCACTGTATTCTCCATCATCATCCATATTCAAACATTTAATTTTAATAACTTAATTCAAAAATTGCACCATTTAATTTTATTTCACAATACCCATTAAATATTTATGAAGCAATTAAAATGATACACATAAGTAAAATATACTACTTCATAAATAACATATGTTCATACGTATAAATTCTAAAATTATCAAAAATTCATTTATGTACTCTAGGCACATTGAACATTGCATAAAATATTTTAAAGAATTTTCTTGAAGTTTTTTTTATTAAAAATTCATTATTAATGAATTTTCTTACTCCTTTTATAACAATAATTAAAATAAACTTCTTACTATATTCAAATATTTAATTCTAGACCATCATCATACACACACACACACACACACACACACACACACACACACACACACACATATGAACTTTAAAAAAAAATTCAGAATTTAATTCACTTCATTTTAATTATTATGTTTTTTTAATCATTTTGCATGAAAAAAAAATCATAATAAATATTTTTGAATCTCTCAAAATAATTTAATTTACCAATAATTTTAAGCTTAAATAACATATTAGTCTAGTGATCTTAAACACTAGTTAAGCCTTTGAAATTAAAAGGGTTCATAAGGCTCGGAGGTTGTGGGTTTGATTCCTACATTGGATATTTTAAACCAAAATGATTGGTCTAGTGATCTTCGAGGCCTAGAGGTTGTGGGTTTGATTCCCACAACTATCAAATTTTAGTTTGTTTTTGTGTATTAATATTTAAATTCATAATATTTTCTACTAGGATAAAAATAACACTTATCCGTTAGTAGTTTTATCTAAATTTCACAATCCAAGTGCCAAGACAACTTTTTTTTTCTATTTTTGCAAAGAGTTTTTTTCTATTCTTTAATTCTATTCTATTTCTTGCTTTTATCTCTCTCTCTCTCTCTCTCTCTCTCTATATATATATATATATATAGTTTGTATGAGGATATATATATATATCCTCATACAAACCGAGTCCGCTAAATTCAAACACCATCAAACATCGGACAAAACCGAAACGACCTATTCCACTTGTCATATCCTAAAAATCATCTACCCGATCGATCGGAAATTCCCAAATGACCTTTCTCGCCTCATTCAGTTCCCAGTTCTTTTTAAAATAAGTCCCTACGGATAGGGCGATAAAGTCGAGGAATCACCGAATTTACTTGTATACCCAAACCTCCAATAACCATTATCTAGGTATGGATTCTATGTTACGTAGATCTACTTCTTTTCGCATCTTCCGCTTCGACTCTTCCGAGTCTAAAAAGATAATCAATAGTGTAAAATATGTTATAGAAGATTTTGAAAAACAAGCCGATGATTGGGCAATACCCAAGATTCACAAAGATGAGATTTACAAAACCTCAAAATATGGTCTTTTCAAAACAGATTTTAGTATCAAAACCGAAGAAAGAGATATTCAGCTTTCAAAACCTTTTGAAACAATTCATCTCCTTTCTTCCAAAACTCTTCAAAAACACAAAGACAAAGGTTTCAAGTATATTCATATCGGTTTAGTTCAAGTGGGAATTAAACCACTTACATATATATATATATATATATATATATTAAAAAAATAACCACCACATCAATTGCATAGTAGTTGCTTGTCTCTTTTTTTTTAATTTTAAATAATTTTATTGTCGGATCAACTAGTCATAGATGACCTAACCCAAATCCCTTTTTCTAACAAAAAGTCAAAAAAAAAAAAAAAAAGAATAAGGGGGCTAACTCTGTAGACTCTTTAATTGCCCATTCCATTGTCAATACAAACACCTAAAAGGTTTGTTCTAATAAGATCATCATTCATAAAATTGATTAGTATTCCCTTTGTAGTGGAATCGCCTCCTTTCGTGTATGATAAATAATAATATCTCGACAATACTAGGTATTGTCGTTCCCATCATCGGGTTAGGACTAAATCATCTCATGATTAGTTGCGTCTAAGGCCTTTTGCTCTTCTAGGACCTAATGTATCTTAACATGCTATATGTTATAGTTGTCTTTTTAAGTTTTTCACCCTTATTCAAATAAGTAATGACGTTTTTTGTTGTCTTTTTGACATTTAGTTACTATAAAGAGACATCATATATATATATATTAGTCATTAATTTCTTGAATTAATTATTAAAATCCAATATAAGATATAGAATCTACAGTTCACTCGTCTTCTCTATCATCATCCATATTCAAACATTTAATTTTAATAACTTAATTCAAAAATCGCACCATTTAATTTTATCTCACAATACCCATTAAATATTTATGAAGCTATTAAAATGATATGCGTAAGCAAAATATACTACTTAATAAAGAACATATGTTCATACATATAAAATCTAAAATTGTCAAAAATTTATTTATGTACTCTAGCCACATTGAGCATTGCATAAAATATTTTAAAGAATTTTCTTGGAGTTTATATATATGTGTGTGTGTGTGAACTTTTTAAAAACAATTCAGAATTTAATTCACTTCATTTTAATTATTATGATTTTTTTTTTATCATTTTTCATGAAAAAATTCATAATAAATATTTTTGAATATCTCAAAATAATTTAATTTACCAATAATTTTAAACTCAAATAACATATTAGTCTAGTGATCTTAAACACGAGTTAAACCTTTGAAATTAGAAGGGGTCATAAGGCTCAAAGGTTGTGGATTTGATTCCCACATTGGATATTTTAAACCAAAATGATTGGTCTAGTGGTCTTCAGGCCTAGAGGACGTGGGTTTGATTCAGATAACTATCAAATTTTAGTTTGTTTTTGTGTATTAATATTTAAATTCATAATATTTTCTAGTTGGATGAAAATAACGCTTAGTTGTAAGTGGTTTTATCTGAATTTCACAATCCAATCCAAGTGTCGAGACAACTTCTTTTTTTTTTTCTATTTTTGCAGAGTTTTTTTAATTCTTTAATTACTCTCTCTCTCTATATATATATATAACCACCGCATTAATTGCATTTTTTATTTTAAATAATTTTATTGCTGGATGGATCAGAATCAACCTGTCATGACGACCTAACCTAAATCCTTTTTTCTAACAAAAAGTCAAAAAAATAAAAAGAGGGGGGGGGCGCTAACCTGAAGGCTCCTTAATTGCCCATTTCCATTGTCAATACAAATAGAATTGACCTAAAAGGTTTGTTCTAACAAGACACCTACATAATTTGTTTTCGAAGTTAGTTTCTTTCCCCCTTTTTTTTTTTTTTTTTTTTTTGGTTGGGGTCAATAAAGGCAGAGTGATTTTATGTTTGCGTGCGCGCGTATATATATATATATATATATTGGCGGTAGTGTCTCCATCATGAATGTGCATGACTGTTACTTTCAATGAAAGTATATACCTTTCAGGGTTATTATGCTCAAATTTCTAGTCTGTGGAACTTGATTTTGAAGTCGGAAGTCGAATTATAGATTCTAACTCCTTGTGATACATCACTCTCTTATTTTTGTTTTGCTTTTTTTATTATGTCTTTTAGAGAATTCAAACATGGACACTCATTCTGAAATTTACTTATTCACAAATCTAGTTTTTGTTGCTCAAGAACATCGATGACATATAACCCAGTCCTTGTTTATGCTTTTAACAGGCTGAATAAAAGGGGGAAATGAAAATTTACAAAATTTATAAAAGTTACTCAAACAAGAAAAAGAATTGGAATCTGTATATAATCTGGTCATTGTTTATGCTTGCTTTTAACAGACAGAAGAAAAAGGGGGAAATGAGGATTTATAAATTTATAAAAGTTCCTCAAAAAAGAAAAAGAATTGTAAGCTGCTCATCATAGGATCAATATCTTTGAATCTCTCTACACTTTTCTCTTCTTGATTGTCCTCATTTTTTTCTCCGACTAGTATCTGTGGATCCAGTAGTTAGAGGATGATAACTCGTTGATTTTGAAATGGAAAGATTAAGACGCCAAAGCATGATTTTTGAGCAGTCCTCCGGTGGGATTCCCTTCAACTTTGTCTCGTCTTCAAGGGCTACTTGTTTGACAAATTTGATTGAATTCTGTAAGGGGGGAAAAAAAAAGAAAGAAAAGGCAAGTTGTTTAACAAATTCTACAAGGAAAATGTAAAAGCAACCCTTATTAATAAATTTACATCCTTGGACAAAAATGGATGGGAGTAGATATGGAAAAAGGGCCCAAAATTTTGGACAGCTAGGCACATATTTTTAATCCTCTAAAAAATTGTTATCAAAGGAAGCACATTGATGTTTCAAGCAATTCATAAATTGCCAAACAAACTTTGTTCAATGGAGGATTATTCTACTATGAAAGTTAAATTATTAAGAAGCATTGCTATCGTAACGCCTCATTTCACGGACAAGCTCATGATTTGCATAGAAATTGATTTTAATAATAAAAGATTCAAAGATTTAAAAACTAGGTCACTGGCTCATAATAAATACTTAAAAAATCATACTGGAGGAAATTTTCCACCAAAAAAAAAAAAAAAAAAAACTTGATTTGCTGGATATAGTCACCAAACAAATAATAATATCTTTCTAATTTTTTAGCTTTTTTTTGTCACCAACAAAATCCCCAAATCTCTGGGACAACATATAATACAATGCAAATGGGCTTTCCTCTATTAGAGCTCTAAACCTAAAATGCACACAATAGTTTTCATAGATATGAAATTATATAGAGATTAATGAGCAATCCACAAATTTTATAATCCCATGATAATAGTCTCTTATAATAAAAGATTATATATTTAAATCTTAATAGATTAGTAATTGGTTATAGAATTTTTCTTCTTTTTTTTTTTCTGTTACCCGGCGAGTCTAACTTAATTTTTCTGGCAATTAAAGTAAAAGAGGATGTCAAATCACCCAATTACGTAATTGCTATGCAAATATATTATTGATTTTAATATGATTGTAGGTTGGCCGAACAGCTACCAAACCATAGTTATTAATTCAAAGCATATCTACCAGCTGGTATGATCGGACCCAAGCACTGTATGGTTGAAGGTATGATTAGCTTCAAGCGTACACTATGGCACTATGATTTTTCACAAAAGCAAAAGGAGCCATGCCATCACCATTTTGTACATTTTGCATGGATTCATCATTACATTTTGTACTCTTTGAGAACTTTGATGTTCTTATTTAGTGCGGGAGCATGAAGGTCCATGACCTTATTATTTTTATTGTGTTTGAAGGAACCTAATCATGATTTGTAAGCTTGGATTAAGTTAGATGGGTATAAGTACCTGTGAGGTCTGTTGGACTGATGAAGGGCGACCCCATCTCTCAGGGTCCCAAAGGATTGAACTGTTAAATCCAAAACTTGAAATGTGGATTGGAGGCTTTGTATCCGTTTCATTGTTCATTATCTTCAGATGCCATCCGATAACCTGCGAGGAATCACATACAGGTCCTTCAATTATCACTTTGTTCTTGTTTGCTGAAAGTAGTGCCATTGGCCATGTCCCGAACACCCTGCACATCATCCATCAAAAGGAAGTTTTTTGAATAATCAATCAGCTAATATTAAGACTTTGATGATGCTATGAGAATCTGATTAAGTCTTGTCAAATATATATATGCATTCTAAAACCAAATGTTTTTTTTTTATTTACTTTGATCAAATGGTCGCTAATGCTAATTGCGACTGCATAAATCAGGATTGTTAATGTCTAATATGTGTGCGGTGGAATCCATAGACACGACCAACAGTTCATATTTAAGTACATACAATCGTGATTGCTCTTAGTATTTGTTTTGTTTTGTTTTAATTAATGATTTAAAAAAAGCGATTAGTTAACACATACCTCCCTTTTCAACAAATGAAAGCTACATAAACTACACTAATAAAGTAGAAGCTAGCTGCTTCCCCCAATGTTTGATCGACAAATCACATAGCCTAACCACCACCCAGTGAAACTGTCGAAATCAAATGAAAATGTGGGACTCATTGGATTGATAATATTTTCTCTCTGCCCAATCATATATATATATATATATATATATATATTCTGGTACAAAAAGCTGTTTATGATTTAAAATCTATATATTTGGTACACCTAAGCAATCACGCTTCAAGTCTCTCATTGAATTTTGTTTAACAAATAGTGAAACTTTAAGAATTCAACCCACCAACCAGCCAGACATTTTTGTTTTCTTTTGTTTCTCTATTTTCATGTTTGTTCTTTCTTAGTGACCCCTAAAGCATAGCAGTACTGGCATGTAAAACTAATGCCGTGAAGTATCAAAGAAGTAATTAAGGGATAAGGAAAATTAGCATACTCAATTTGTCTAAGCTCGTCGAAGAAGCCAAGATCATAAAAATTGGAAAGCCCGGCAAAATGAACAATTCCGCTCAGCCTGTGTTGCTCAATGTGCCTTAATGCAACATTCCTCTGGTGATCCAACTCGGCTTCAGGATCTGTGAAGTTCTCCCTGAAGACCAAATGCCTATACATAATTCCTGTTTTTCTAAGTATCTCCGATACTTCATCTGATTCTGATTGCCCTTCCACAACAATCCACAGTAGGGGTGGAGGAACCAACCTGATTGTATTAGCTAACCTCCTCAAAAACACCCCTTGATACGGATCTTTAGCACTTATTGGTGTAACGATAACTGCCAGTCTTCTTGGTGGAAACTTGGGTTCTGTTTCTTCTTCTTTTTCTGAGAATTTTGCTCGTTCGGATTCGGTAGACCGTGATGGAGTTGACATGGGACTTTCAGCTATCAAACTTCTGTTAAGATAACCAGCATGTGGTGTGCTTGCTGCCTGCTGGTGCAACATTTCAACAGGTTGCGGCAAGGACTGTGATTTACTTGATGCAACAACATGACTAGAAAAAAATGAAGCCTTGCCCGCTGGAGCGAAACCTGTAAAAAACCCCATAACAAAACATAAACCAAAATGAACTATAGCTTTCTTCCATAATTGAACTTTCTTCTTTGATCTTTCCAGAGACCCCATCTATCTAAACCCTTCAAACTGTGATTAAAATCTAAGTTAATTTCTGGGCTTAGCCAGATACTGACGACTGAATTTTGGTGAAAATGAGGGATTCTGTCAGAGAGATAGAGAAATGTAGAAGACTACAATTAATATATAAGGAATCGTTTTATATTGAAGGTTATGTTTTGTGAAGGCTGATGCTAAACTGGTCTATGATAGGTACTGGCAAACTCCAAAGGGGTATTATCTTTATTTGGAACTTTATTTTATTTTATTTGACAAGGCATTGCTTCGTTTAGTTATCACTTGAATTTTAAGAAAACTTGCGATGGGAAAATATGGATGGAGGGAAGGACTTGAGTTGCTATCTGCACCAAATAGTTGGTGGAATGCAACCTGTCAACCAAATATACTTAGAAAGAAAAACAGCTAATTTTATATTAACGTGTTGTTAAGATCAATTATGTAAAGTGAGTATAGAGGTTATGAGATATTGCCTGTCCCAAATATAGTTTCGAGCAAATTTTATTACATATGCCAACCTTTTGTTAGAATTTAACTACTTGTAAGCTGGAAGTTGACCAGAAGTTCCTAACGAGGGTAAAAATGTTTTAAAAAACTTGAATGTTTTGGGTTTTGGTATTTCTATACATGGTAATTCAAACTTTGTATAAGCATGTGCTCTTACAATCTTAGATTTCGTTATTTAATTCTCTTGCGGACAAATAGGGAATTTGCAAACTAAGATTATGCAAAAAAAAAAAAAAAGAATGGAAATTTTCTTATCATTTTTTATAGAATTAAAAAAAAAAAAAATGAGTTCAAGCATAAACACTTTCATCGGTGAATATGAATATTATGTTCTCTTTTATATATATATATATAAATGAATCTATAAAATCTTAATTATGAGACACATCAGTTTGTACGACATTAATAAATAAGTTGTCTGTCAAATTACTTTTTTCCACACATATCTCTCATTTGATTGCCACAACATTTCAATAAGACTGGTGTTATAGCTTCATATTCAAGTTAAACGTTGAATGGCTCAAATTTTTCTCAAATTTTAATTCATTTGAAAATCAATGTTTAAATTTTTAATTAATTTTTAATCTTAAATTTGATCTCCTCTTAGGTTTACACCTTTTTTTTAGATTTCATTCATTACCAACTATCATCACTATATAAAAACTTCAATTTTTGATATTTTGAACTGAAATTTTACACATGCTAAAAAACATTCAATATATTTCTTGAAAAAAATTCTAAAATTTTTCAACATTGAAAAATATTGTTTTATTTTTTTAACATTAAAATACAACAAATAAAAAAATATTTTTTTTTGTAGAGTCCGAATAAATCTTGATACATAATTTTCATCGAGACGATTATTTATGTGACCATTATTTTTTTAAAAAAATATAGTATTGATTACATTTTTTTTAAAAAATAGGAGAAATCAAAATAGAAACTAAAGGTTCAAATTTTCAAAAATATTAAAATTCAGAAAAAAGACTTATAATTGAACAATATAAATCAATTTACAAATCATTCCTCAAATTATTTAAATTTGTATCAATAATAAAATTCACACAAATAAATTAACAGCATGATGAATGTCACAAATATTAATTTTCAACACTATCAATTTATTGACCTTAAATAATAATATTTGATAAGTAACGGTAAGATACAAAATACATTATGGATCAATATATAAATAATCTCATAAATATGCACATGCATATATTTGTTGTTACCTTTTTACAATATACTTGTCATGCAATTTATTTCATAAATATTCACATAAAATATATTAGCAAAAAATAATATATATTTTTCATTCAACATGACCTTGATATCTCATTAGCCATCCGGTAGTGATAATTTTTTTTAAAGAGCAACGCAATCACACGAACGAAGACCGACATTGAAATATGTTTATTGTCTTCAAAGCTCAATAAAATTAAAAATTAACAATATACGTATCTTTCCACATATAAGGAATTATCAATTCACCCATAAAAATATATGGCCTTGAGGTAAGAGTAAAATAAGATAAAAATGAAATAATTTTTTTTTTCACATCGCTAATTAACATCTACAAATTTATTTTCAACTAATGAAATTTGTTAGATGTATAAAACCAATCAAGATGTTAGCAAAATAATATATATATTTTTTCAATACTTGCTTTATTCTCAATTAAGTAGAATCATCAAACACCAATGAAAAACCACAATAGGCAAGTAATGGCATTGATATTATAAAAATATATATATATATTAAAAATTTTCATGCCCCAATTTATTTTTAATTTTAATCATTAAACAATAACATGGTATTGTCTCAAATTGTTGTTTCTAGCACATAAAAATGAACATAATTAAATAATAAATATTGACACAATAAATAAATAATTTTATTGTAAATTAAAATAAATAAAGAATTTGAACTTTTTACCTTGATCATTAGAAAAATTAATGATTAAAGTCACATTATTATATTTCGCGGTATTAAGATAATCGAACCATCAAAATAGTTTTACCATAATTTTAGGTGATTGGCTCGAGGCACAACCGGGTTGTTTTCTTGAGACGATACGCGTCATCTGCAGAATTTATCTAATGCAACGGATAAAGAATATGTTACACACCATCTCGGAGATACAATAAGCTAAGCTACCTTGTCGTGTCTTAACAAGTTTGCACTACTTGTAAAACTTGAAACTCTAAATAAAATTTAGTACCTCTTTTACCCAAAAAATAAAATAAATAAACATTATATGGCTTTATAGTGGGAGATTAAAGAGCACAAAAAATGAAGAATTATTTTTCTTCTTCATTGAAAAACACTGCAATAGTTTTCTCTCTACATAACAAGAATATAAAAATGTTGTGTTTTTTTTTTTTATTGTAGCCGTATTTCATCAAATGGCAAGAGCCATTTATATAAAAAGAAAAAGTGTCCGTTGGACACCTGAATTAATAAAACAAATTAAATGATTTTAAAAGAAAACCGTTGAGAGTGAATGAACAAAAGCCGTTTTAAGAAAATTCAAAGCATGAATTAAAAACCCATTAAAAACCGAACGGGTAAAGCAACATTGCAAAGTTGTTTTGCAATTGAAAGTCAAACTAATATCAAAGCTCTTTAATTGGATATAATGAGAATTTTAACAGTTTCAAAACAGTATAATGGTTTTGTTTTGAAACTTATGTCTCCTTTTTTTAAATAAATATTTTATTAAATATTCCAACAGATTTATGTGAAGCTCTTTAGAAAATTTAGAATAATTTACTATTTATTTTTTAATTTTCTTAAATCTTTTATATTTTTAATTTTCAAAATATAAACAAGTATAGTTTTTTATTTTAAAAAAACTTGGAATTTTTTTCACAAAATAAATTGAGTTGTTTCTCAAACGGGTGTAAAATTTCAACTTAAAATAACAAAAACAGAATTTTAAAAAATAAGAGAAATCAAAATAGAAACTAAAGGTTGAAATTTTCAAAAAGATTAAAATCCAAAAAAAAAAAAACTTAGCGAGAAAAAAAAAAATAATCTAACCATCCCTGAAATTTAAGCCATTTAAAATTAAATTCTCAAGTTTTTTTTTTTTTTATCAGTGTGAAAAAAATCTGAACTTTTATTTTTATTTATTTTTGTAAATTTACCTTATCCTTCAATTTTCCATCGTTGATTTATTTGAAATCCCATTTACATGATTTGCCTCATCCTTCAATCTTCTATCATTTATTTATGTGAAGCTCCTAAGAAAATTTAGAATCATTTACTATTTATTTTTTTATTGTTCTCAAATTTTTTATATTTCTAATTTCAAAAAATAAAAAAATATAGTTTTTATTTAAAAAAATTAGAATTCTTTTCATAAAATAAATTGAATTGTTTCTAAAACGCGTGAAAAATTTCAACTTAAAATATCAAAAACAGATTTTGAAAAAAAAATTATTAAATGAAATAAATCTGAAAAAAAATTAAAATTCAAAAATCTTCGAAACAAATAAAAAATTCAAAAACTAAAAACTCAAAAAAGATTAAAACCGTTCTAGCAACTTTTCACATTTAGCCTCCAAGTTAAAGATAAACACGTTCCATAATACAACGACAAATAATAAGTTGATAAAAACAAGACATCCACAGTCGCGTCGCGCACCCAAATGATCAGTCCTGGAACCCAAATGGAATTTCATCAATTTTCTAGTTTCCAAGCCAAACAAAAGAGGCTTGGTACAGGCAGAGCAAGTACTGGTAACTATGTCAGCATCAGATACAGTAAGATAATATCAATTCACAACTTCTATCATCAAGAAGACACCTGACATATGATACGAGGGAAACCATGCTGGAGATATCATATACCAATGAATCAGAAATGGCACTAACGTCAAAAACTATATGATGCTCATAAAGATGACTCGAAACCAAGATGCTCAAATTAAAACTCAAACAACAAATAAACTTAAAAAGCACAAGCTTGTAAAATTCCCAAACATCCATAATCTATGAAGAAAAGTCGTAATCGGTCTCAAAACTTGAAGAGAACATCAAACAAGCATAAACAAAGCAATAAACTAGAACTGCAACTAAACATGCACTTTACTTCCCTTTCTTTGCTGCAGACTTGGTAACTTTGGCACCAGATGCTTCCTTCTTCTCAACACTCTTGATGACACCAACAGCCACAGTCTGGCGCATGTCCCTCACAGCAAAACGACCAAGAGGAGGATAGGTAGAGAAGGTCTCAACGACCATAGGCTTGGTGGGAATCATCTTCACAAACCCAGCATCACCATTCTTCAAGAACTTGGGCTCCTTCTCAAGCTCTTTGCCAGATCGCCTGTCAATCTTGGTCAAAATCTCAGAAAACTTAACAGCAATGTGTGAGGTGTGACAGTCAAGAACAGGGGCATATCCATTTGCAATCTGGCCAGGGTGGTTCATGATGATGACCTGAGAGGTGAAGTTGGCAGCCTCCTTGGCAGGATCATCCTTGGAGTTAGAAGCGACATAACCACGCTTGAGATCCTTGACAGCAACATTCTTAACATTAAAACCAACATTGTCACCTGGAAGGGCCTCCTGAAGAGATTCATGGTGCATCTCCACAGATTTAACTTCAGTGGTAAGTCCAGTGGGGCCAAAGGTAACAACCATACCGGGCTTCAGGGTACCAGTCTCAACACGTCCAACAGGTACAGTTCCAATACCACCGATCTTGTAGACGTCCTGAAGGGGAAGACGGAGGGGCTTGTCTGAGGGTCTCTTAGGCTCATTCACCTGGTCAAGAGCCTCAAGGAGGGTTGGACCCTTGTACCAGTCAAGGTTGGTAGACCTTTCGATCATGTTATCACCCTCAAAACCAGAAATAGGTACAAATGGGATCTTCTCAGGGTTGTAACCAACCTTCTTCAGGTAGGAAGAAACTTCCTTAACAATTTCATCGTACCTAGCCCTAGAGTACTTGGGGGTGGTAGCATCCATCTACAAATAGCAGACAACAAAAACAATGAGTCTCAATCAGGTGTTTGAAAATATTTACAACGTAAGTTAAGGTGTTCATGAAATTTCAAAGATAAGCTACACAGATTAAAAGGTAATAATTTTACTTTGTTGCAACAGCAAATCATCTGCTTGACACCAAGGGTAAAAGCAAGCAGGGCATGCTCACGAGTCTGGCCATCCTTGGAGATACCAGCTTCAAAACCACCAGTGGTGGAGTCAATAATGAGGACAGCACAATCAGCCTGTGAGGTACCAGTAATCATATTCTTGATAAAGTCACGATGACCAGGAGCATCAATGACAGTGCAGTAGTACTTGGTGGTCTCAAACTTCCAGAGAGCAATATCAATGGTGATACCACGCTCACGTTCAGCCTTAAGCTTGTCCAAAACCCAGGCATATTTGAATGACCTTTTGTTCATCTCAGCAGCTTCCTTCTCAAACCTCTCAATCACACGCTTGTCAATACCTCCAAGCTTGTAGATCAGATGACCAGTGGTGGTCGACTTGCCAGAGTCCACATGGCCAATGACCACAATGCTAATGTGTACCTTTTCCTTACCCATGATAAAATTTGGGAGAGAAGCTGAAATTGATTAAAAGAAACACATAAGATATCATAGTAAATTAGATGGGAACAATCACATGCAGAAAGAAACATTTCCAATGCTATCTAACCGGTCCAATACTTCAAATGAAAAATGGAAAATTAGCATAATCATAAACCAAATGACCATAACAAGATCCATAAATAACGAACAAACCAACAAACCTTTGATAAAAAGGTCAAACTCAAGATCATTTAATAAAACAGATACGACATTTAGTTAAGAAGAAACCATTTCAGGGGTGTGACTGCTGGGATTCGAGCCCAGGTCTCCATGCAACAAATGCATGGAATTTACCATTAAAGTACAGCCACTAAAGAGTGAAAAAAAAACATTTTTCCAATCAGATTCAGGCACTTATCATCAAAACAAACATAACCAAAAGAGATCAAGGTTCAGTTTGTTTCAGCCTTGTTTCCGACGGAAAAAAATGTAAAACTTAAAGCAAAAAAGGCTTCAACGAAAACAACTGAATTTTAGGCGAAAAAAAGACAATTATTTATCCAACAAAACATTAAACGAGGTAAGCATAGTACAGAAACGAAACAAAAATATAATTTGCTGTCTAATTTCAATCAAACAAAGCACAGCTTTCAAAACCACAGAAAACAAAGGTAACAAAAACTGAATCATCAGATCTGAGATAAGCAGGACCAAAGCCAACATCATAGGAAGCAAAGCAGATAAACAAATAAGAACCATAAAACTCAGAAGGAATCAAATCAGTCAAAAACATCAAAGCTACGGTTTCTATCAATCAAAAAATAAACCACAAAAGATAAGTAAACATAACAAAATATTAAAAGGGAGAGAGAGATAAGGAATCTAACCTTAAAGAAAGGAAGTTTAGGAATGGAAAAAAATGGAGCTCCCTCGCAGTTACAGAGAGCAGCGTTGAGAGCAAGCGAAAGAGGGTGAATGCAGTACCTTATGCTGCCTTAAATACTGACACTAGGTCATTTGGTCTAAATTAGGGTTTCTCTATCCGCCGTTGGATTGTTTTAAATCTAATGGTCCAAGATAACCACGTAGCCGCCGGCAAGCACTTGTGCAGTTTGCATGCCAGGAACCTTTTCTGTCTTTCTTTCTATTTTATTTTCTTTCTTATGGGCAAACCTTAAGCGTGCCATCAACTATAGGTTTAATCGCGTAAAATGTTTCTTTATCGATGATATTTTCTTATGGTGGCTCTTTACTTCTTTTTTTTTCCGTCACCTTCTTATGCTATTTAATTTTTTTTAATGTGACTCTTCTTATTGATATTTGATGATTATTCCAATTGGATATGATAGATGATAAAAAATTATCACATAGTGTGATATATCAGATAAAATTTACCACATGGTACAAAATCTTTACATGCAAAATCTAAAGAAAAAAAAAAACCAAAGCATAAAAATCTTTTGATTTTTCTCTCTCCTCGGGCAGTTGATAGATCTGCTCCATTTTCTTTTAAAAAATCCTTAATCTTCACATTTTCATTCGAAAAAACCATAATCTTCACACAATTGCTTTCGATTTTTTGGTCACCATCGATTCATATATTGCTTATGAATCGAACTCAAAGATCTTATAAAAGGTGACATGGAGCAAAAGATGTGCACTTATTGGAGGTGGGATGTCTCAAGTATCACTTGTGAGCATGCATTTTACGTAATTAAATTGAAAAAATGGAGAATTGAAGACTATATTTATGAGTGGTATTCAAAAGATAAGTTTATTAAGTGTTATGAGCATTTCTTTGAACCTATCAATTAAGAAAAGTTTTGGCCAAGAACTCGGTTTGCCACTTGTTTACACTCCAGTTATTGTTAAGATGTCTAGAAGACAAAAAAAAAAAAAAAAAAGGCAAGAGAAGAGAAGAGTGGGAGGAAAAGAGTAATGATACTAATTGAAGGATCATGCATCCTATAGAGGTGCGGAATAAATAAAAATTTTCTTCTACTAGAGTTTCCAAGATCATGTCATTGAATCAACCAATTATACATAAACATGAATCAGATTAAGGTGAGTGATTACCTTTTGTAACGTAGAAACAATTTAAGCGAAAATAAAACCGTCCAAGTGTTCAACCTCTATTAATCATCCACGCACCTCAAACATTCATACAAAAGCTATAAAAATCACGAGTTCTAGCTCCAATTCTTCCGTGTAGTGAATTTTTCTCTAGAAATCCTATAAGGTAATTTGCACCAACTTTTGGCCCTTTATAGAGAGACATGGTAACTTTCAATTTTTCGAGAGAAAAACATTTTCTCTCTTCTTATTTTTTATATCCGCCATCCCTCTCTCCTCCCTCTATTTATAAGGGGTGACGACATCTCCTTGTAGGTCAATGAGATGTTGCTTTGTGTGGGATTTGTCTAACTTTATCCTTGTAAAATTTGAGCCTTATCCAATAGTACTCGAGTTTATCTTTCCACCAAAATAACTTACAAGCTTTTATATTATACATATTGCCTAATTAATTATCAATTAATTTGGATTATCCAAATAAATTGAGTCAAGTATTTTAATAGGGCCTACATTAGGAAACATTTTCCTAAATTATCCTAAAACCTAAAAAAAAAAAAAACTAGTTTCCTTTTAAGTAACTATCTTTCCAAATTAGAAAATTGATTTTTGAAATAGGAACTTGTCTTTCCAAAGTAGAAAACTTTTTCCAATAACCTTTACTAGGGGTGAGCATAATTCGATTTTAACCAAAAAATCAAACCAAAATATCTATTTGGTTCGATTTTGAACTTAAAATAAGTAAGAAAAAACCAAACCAAAAGATTGATATTATTTGATTTGATTCGGTTTTATTTTTTCTTTGGTTTAAATTGAAAATCGAAACTATAAAAGTAAAAGAAAAAATAACCCTACTATCGTCACTTACTCTCTTTCTCCTAGTCTCTTTCTTAGTTTCTCCCCAATCGAATTTCCCGGATCACTAATTCACAAATAGTGCCTTATACTTGATAATCTCAACCCCTACTCATCCCGTTCCTTCTTCCAATCCTCTCGTTCCTCATCGTCCTCCTCTCAATCTTCATCTTTGCCTACTCGTTTAGTGCCTCCTACTCGAGTGCTTTGCTTTTGTCCTCAATCCTCACCGGATTCACCAAATAGCCCATAGCCCTACAAACCCCACCCACCTCTCCTACCAACCTCTCGCCCGTCCTCCTCCTCCTCCTCCTTCTCTTCATCTTTACTTCGGTGCCTTCGTTTTTATCCTCATCGATCATCAATCAACAATCACTAGACCCATCACCTACTCGTCCTCCTCATCCTACTTTGTTTTTTATCATTCATAGGTTGAACTTGTTATCTTGCCACGACCACATCTTTCACTCACTTGCTTGATCTCTTTCTAAGACAAGGTCAATTTCTTTCACTCACTTGTTAGGGAATCAATTTTTTTCATTTTTTATTCTTTTTCTATTGAATTTATCTATGTTTATATAAGCTTATCTAAGGTTTATAAATTGAAATTATCCGTGTTTACAAGTAATTTTACTATACAACCAAAGTTTATTATACTAAGAGAAGAAACATATGGCTAAAAAGATTAAAATCCTTTCAAATTACATAAAAATTATTACGAAAAACCCGTCACCCGAGAATGCATGACTCTTTTCAAGCAATAAGGTAGTCCTAAACCTGTCATCTCTACTTATTTTGTTATTGAAGCTATTATTTGTTATTTGAATTGTAAGCCTACTGTAGGAAGTGATGCTTCTAGGAGCACGTGGGTTGAGAGTTTTAAGAGTTGTAATTTCTAACTTTGTCATTTATTCTTTCACTTAGCATTTGTAGATTTTCACCTTTCTTTTGTGGAAATAGTATAGCCTATCATTGCCCTATTAATAATGCCCCTAGAGGAATGCTTCATGCTTGTAATATAACAAAATATATTTGGTAGCTTGTTTAGGCTTAACTCCTCATACTTGCTTAAATTATTATGTTACCGAAAAAAAGAAAATTTGGTATCCTACCGTATAACTTATGTGTTGTTAATTTTCCGAATGATGCATTTTTAGTTGCTACTCTAAACTTTGTGTTGGTTGCATCATTTTTATGAATGTTGGGCATTAATTGCTAAGCAAATTAGCGTGATTCTCCTACAAAAGTATTATTCAACAAATTGTTTTACAACCAATAAACTTGTTTCTTAACCTCATTTTGCAAACAAGACTTCTAATTTTAGCTAAATTGAACTCTTGTAAGGAAAAAAAATCATTTCATCTATTGTTCATAAATACATAGAGAGAGAAGGTTTGATATAGAAAGCACATTCATCTTAAAAGTGGAAATAAATATGAATTAAACTGGTATTTTTTTTAAATAAATAATAGTATCGAAAACTTTAAAAAGTCGATGAAGGGAATTATTGAAAAATTCGATAAGAACGGAGTTGATGTTATCCATAAGAGAGCTTTTGACTTTTAGGTATAGGATTAGAAGAAAAAATCTGGAAAAAACTCTATAACACCAAAGACCAAAATTTAATATTATTAAGTAGCAAGCATGGCTAAGAGAAATGATGCATCCATTCGGGCATAGATTAGGTTTTCTAATCTTACGATAGTATTATTTAATAGTACTATTTTTGGGGTTGTTGAATAATATTACTAGATTGCATATTCACTTAGTAATTTTTTAGTATAATGTTATATATATATATATATATAGATGTCACAATTTGAATAGATATATGTTGAAAATATGGGTTCAAGCAATTCACAACCAAGTGTAGCTCCAAGTAACACACAAGATGGAACAAGGATGAAGAGGAAACCAACTAAGCCAAGATCGATTGCGTGAGACCATTTCACAAAGTTTGAAGATGAGAATAAGTACATCAATGGTAAATGCAACTATTGTGATAAGGTACCGGCTTTTCATCCTAAAAAAAATAGCATTATCGCCTTTAAATCTTATATGACTTTATGAAAAAAAACACCCTTATAGTATTGACACCACATAAACTCAATTAAATCTTGCAAGACTTGTAGGAGGAGAAAGATCTCTTAACACATATAAGTTTGATCAAATTTGCTATTAGAAATGCTTTAACTCACATAATCATTGTAGATGAACTTCCATTTAAGTATGTAGAGGGTAAGGGGTTCAAAAGGTTTATGTCTATCGCATAACCTAGATTCAAAATTTCATCATGATTTATGACTTTAAGAGATTGCTATCAACTTTATTTAGATGAGAAATCAAAGTTGAAGCAATTCTTGAAACAAAATTATGAAAGAATTTATCTCACTACAAACACATAGACATCTACTAAAAGAATCAATTATATATGTTTTATGGCTCA